CCACCCACCTCTCGAACCAGCCCCGAAATCGCTCCTCGGTGCCCAGGAGGTTGCTGTGGGGGTTGAGGACGTAGAAGGTGCTGCTGGGGTTCACGCCACGGCTCAGCACAGACCCTGCCCGCTGCTGGAGAGGGGGGAGATGAGTGGGTCCCAGGCCAGCACAAGGTTTGGGGGGGTTCCCCAAACCCCGGGGCTGGGGTACATGGGGTGCCCCCCAACCTCTCACCTTCTGTGCCAGGGAATAGCTGAGCAGGAAGCTGTTTACAGGCACGTCCTTCAGGCACGCCATGCTCTCCCAGGGCAGCTTCTGCAGGTGCTGGGAGGAAGAGGAGGAGGAAGGTGTGAGTGGGAGGGAGGCAGCAGAGCCGGGAGGGGGTGAAGCAGGAGCAGGGCTCTCACCTTATCCAGCACCAGGACGAGGGAGCCGGCAGTCTGCGTGGCGCAGGCTCTCCGCTTCTCCACCGCCTCCTGCAAGAGCGGCTGAGCCCTGCGGGGCTGCCCTGGGCAGAGGCCGAAGGCCAGGGCTTGCACATCATGGGGCGTGAGGAGAGGAGCGGCATTCAGCACCACCTGCGGGGAGGAGGAAGGGGTGAGCATTGGCAAAGCAGGGGCTCAGCTCCCCGAAATCCCGCCCCAGCCCAGGCACCTTGAGCAGGGTGGGATCCGAGTCCCTCCAGCCGCACCGGCAGAGCTCGGGGTGCAAGCGAGCAGCTTCCTCCACCAGACCGGGCTCGGGGCCAGTGGGGATCAGGGCACCCCTCCAGCAGCCCAGCACCTGCATTTCCAGCGTCTCGATGAGGCTCTGCAAGAGGTCAGAGTCACTGGGGGGGTCCGGGCCCCCCAACCCACTCTGAAATGTGCCCGACATCGGGGTGCAGGGTGGTTTTCCCCCCCACCTTCATCCTGCAGTCCAGCTCGGAGCGGCGTCGCCACCAGTCTTGCTTGTCCGTGCAGCCGTTGACTTCCTTCTGCTCCTTCTGGATGGCGTCAAAGTCGCTCAGCACTGAGTGCAGCGGGGCCTGGAGGAGGAAGGGAGCCGTGATCCCAGCCCCAAACACAGCTGGGCCCCCCCCTCTCCCATCCCTGCCCTCACCTTGTTGAGCACGGTGGGGATGCGGATGGTCACGGGAGCGCTGCCCTTCTCCAGCCGCGTCAGCAGCAGCGTGTCCCCTGCAGAGCCAGGCTGGGTGCTGGCGAGGGTCAACGTGCACACAGTCACCCCTGAAAGTCACACCCGGACCTTAAGGACAGCCCCAAGGGCACCATCCGTCGCTCAGCACCCTCCTGGGCGACGAACTGCCCGGTCCCTGTGCTCGCGTCAGCCCTCACCGCTGGGGATCTGCTGCAGCTGCGCCCAGAAGCCGTCCCGCACCTCAGACCCCAGCCCTGTGGGGCTGAACATGAAGAGTCTCTCGAGCTCGGCGAGGTGGTGGCTGCGCTGGGCAGCACTCCCCTCCTGCAAGGAGAGCCCGCGGAGCTGCTCAGCCACGTCCCCCGCTGACTTCTTCTCTTTGCTGCAAAGGGAAAGGCAGTCAGGGGGGAATAAGCACCCCAAAATCACCTTTGCTGGGGCTCTGGTGGTGTTGGATGAGCCCCTTTCTCCATGATACTAAAGGAGGGGAGATTTAGACTGCATATAAGGAAGAAATTTTTTACACTGAGGGTGGTGAGGCACTGGAAGGGGTTGCCCAGAGAGGCAGTGGAGGCCCCATCCCTGGAAACCTTCAAGGCCAGGTTGGACGGGGCTCTGAGCCCCCTGGTCTGGTTAAAGCTGTCCCTGCTCGCTGCAGGGGTTGGGCTGGGTGACCTCTGAAGGTCCCTTCCCACCCAAACCGCTCCATGATTCTATGCTCTAGGGATGGAGGGAGGCCGAGGGACTCACTAAATCTTCCTGTGGATGACGCTGAGCAGCTGATGGCGAGCGGTGACGGAGACTGACTCGGAGAGCAGGTACGCGGTGGAGAGGGGGTCCTGGTTCCCCATGGCCAGAGCCAGGAGCTGGCAGAGCTGGCTGTAGAGCGCACCAGGAGGGCAGTGGCTGATGGAGTTGAAAGCATCTTTCAGGAGCTCGAGGGCCGTGTCCAGCGAGGAGACATCTGGAAGGGACAAAGCAGCAAAACGCCGGGGCAGGATCAGGTGCTGAGCCCTTGGGCAACGCTCCGAGCAGCAGCGAGGGGAGGTGGAGCAGAGGGGACAGATGTGGCGTCCCCAGCACAGCCACCAGCTCCCAACACAAGACCAGTACCCTACGCACTGGAGGCTCGCAGAGCGGCCCTGTGTTACCCTTGGCCAGCAGCCTGATGCCCACCCAGCCGCTCACTCACTCCACCTCCACGGGAAATGGTGAGGAAATAGGACAAAAAAACCCCATGGGTCAAGATAAAGACAGGGAGATCTCTCACCAGTTACCAGCCCAGCCAGAACAAACCCAGTTTGGGGAAAATTGACACCTCAAGCTGCGTCAGGGGAGGTTTAGATTGGATATCGGGAGAAATTTCTTCACAGAAAGAGTGGTCAAGCACCGGAACAGGCTGCCCAGAGAGGTGGGGGAGTCCCCATCCCTGGAGGGGTTCAAAAACGGGCAGAGGTGGCACTGGGGGCCATGGTTTAGTGGGCATGGGGGTGTTGGGTTGATGGTTGGACTGATGATCTTAGAGCTCCTTTCCAACCTTAATGATTCCTGGTTTTTACTTTCATTAAAAAATAGTCCGGATTTAGACTGGATATAATAAGGAAGAAAGTTTTTACAGCGAGGGTGGTGAAGCGCTGGCACAGGTTGCCCAGAGAGCTGGTGGCTGCCCCATCCCTGGAAAGGTTCAAGGCCAGGCTGGACAGGGCTCTGATCACCCTGCGCTGGTTGAAGATGTCCCCGCTTATGGCAGGGGGGTTGGACTCGATGACCTTTGAAGGTCCCTTCCAACCCAAACCATTCTACGATTCTATGAAACAAAAATTAAACCCCCTTCCCCCAGCACTGGGGAGCAGCCCCTCCTCCTCCTCAGCCGTTTTGCTCTCTGCCCATACAGTGATTGTCACCCATTTTAAACATTTTGCAGAGGTGCCACCAACTTCACCGACAGGCTCAGCTTTAGCTTTCCTCCCGACGCAGCTCCCCAG